TTTCAACAGGATTTTTGATAAGATTTAATATAGTTTTGCCATGGTTTCAGCAATTACTAAGGAGGTTTCGCCCACAATCTTAATTATGCAGGATTTAATTAAAGAAGGATTTGAAAGAGATAATAACCAAAGAGAGACTCGTCATCACTCATCATTTTTTTCATCATCTTCCAGAAAACACCATTACACTACATCTAAATCAAATATATCATTGGTAAGATTAATTCAGGGAAATCACTTGTCTGAGTACAGAGAAAACAGAATTGCATGTGAGTATTGTAAACATTTGAGGCAAGAAATGAAAGGAAAAGCCTTAGATGGTGAAAGTCTTTCATATATATTCTGTACTTTATGTAATGTTGCTTTATGTTTATCTTCAAAAAGAAATTGTTTTGTAAAATATCATAGTTAACTCATTATTATTATTATTTATTATTATTTATTATTATAAAAAAATATGTACACAATTTTTTAACCAAATTGAGGTAAAAACCTGTATTCTAAATTTGATTTTTCCCTTAAGTAAACATTGTTACATACTTTACGGTTTTGGACTAGTTATTGAGGGATAAATATTTTTTCTAATTGTAAAAAATTCGTCTAGGGGGGGTCTACAAATTTTTAAATTTTTGGACTAAATCTGGTCCAAATTTCTGTTCATTTAAGGGATAAAATGTGTAAACCTTTTGTGTAACTAATGATTCGTAAAGCATATAATGATAAATATTACTTTACCAATAATTAATGTCAGTATTGGCATTAATTATTGGTAAAGTAATATTTATTTATTTTTTTTTTTGTTATATATTAACATTAACAATCTAATAATAATGATCAAAATGATTTAATTTGAATAATTACACGTCTATTAAATAACCTTTCCACGAAAAATAATTAAATTTTTTTATTACCATGTGATATATATATATCACTTGTGTGTGGGATATATTAGGATCGGTAACCTCAATACGTGAAAAAATGAAAGGTTTTATTGCAAGAAAAGCAAGGACTAAAAGATGGTGTTTCAATGAGAACATCACTTAAATGTGAGTGTAAAGGAAGTAAATAATGTGTTGAAATTCTAAATCTAAACGTTGTAATTATTCTTGAACAACGAATGCTTCTTCCGGGCCATAGAAATTCATGTTCTTACAGAATTTAGCCGGTTATTATTATAAAATTTCTATTTTGAGATATCCAAGGTTTTTGATTAAATATATGGGAGGACCTAACTCGCGATTTTAAATCAATAACATTAATAATAATATATGTAATTCGTCATTATTAAATAAAGTTTCGATAATAATAAATAATAAATTATAATAATTATAATTATTATTTATTATACATTATAAAAATTGCCGATGCCCGTTTTTAAAAAAATAATTTCCCGTTTTCCACTAACCAATAATTTTCCTATATTAAACAAAAAACATAAGCTGAACCAAAAGTTTCAATCAAAGCAAGAAGCTAGCTTAAATACTGGTCATTCTACGACAGGCTGAAGGTATTTCTTTTATTGGCACTTATTTCAAGACTAGCATACAACCAGAAGGGGGAATGAAGCAAATTCGATATAGATAAATGTGTTAAAGCATGCTTTATAAATTTGTTAAGAACTTTTTGAAGGATAGATCGGAAGATTAATCTTACAAGGTGTTGAGGTTAGAACCAGTAAAAAAACCCTGACCGATCAGCTGTTTAACCGGTCCCAACCTTTAATTCCGTTTGGGTGAGAAGACACTTTTATTTGAACTTGGCATGTTCCTACACTTCCATCGTCACTAAATGAAGCTCTCACGTGGCCTACTTTTCTTATCATGTTTTTTTTTTTGGCTGGTGGTTGATGAATTATTCGGTGGTAATGGTAAAATAGATTGAAAAGGTTTCCGAATTGGTTGTTAGATATTCTTCATAACGTGAGTTGGCTCGTCTTCTAATATTAAATCAGTTAAACCACTTAAAAAAACACTTTCCGCGAATGATTGGGCTGGTAGCTACCATCGCCGTAAATAATTACGGCCATCGTAAATAGATACGGCTGCCGCAAATAGCTACAAATAGTTTTCACGATCAATATGGTTATTGTCATTAGCATTATGAGTCTTGAGAAGTTTTCTTGTGATCTGCGGCAACTAAATTTTTTGAATTGTCGGTCGTTCATTCACAGTGAAAATATATGTAAAAATAAAATTTGAAACAGTCATAACTATTTGCGGCAGCCGTATCTATTTGTCGTAAATATTTTATAATGATAACTACCAGGGGTAATCACCCTATGGTAGTTACCATTGCTGCAAGTAATCAATTATGGCAGGTGTCTTTAAAACCACTCGTACTTGAGAATTAAGGAATTAAAAATTATTTATCAAATATTGTAATTGTCACGAATGTTTGAAATATTCAAAATAAATACAACAAAAATAATTACGGATATCTGAATATCCGAAATAATCAGCAATTACGAAATATTCAATAAAAAAAAAAGTTTGATTTTCGGTTAGGAATACTACTACAGCGATGATATGTTGTAAAATTTATTTCAGCTAATTTCACTTGGACATAAAAATTGTATATGAATAAAAAGTACTAGAAAGATTTATAGAATGTAAAATCAGTACACTCTAAAGCAAGCTGGAAATTCTGCACCAGCAATGGCATTACCCGTATTTATTTCACTATTATACATAGATATATTATATCATGTTCATTTTCATGTATTTCTACGTATGTATATTTCTATGTATTTTAATTATATATGAACAAAGACAATGAGCCATTAAGACTCACTGAAAATTTGGTGTATTGACAAAACCAGAAACATAATGCCACAAATAAAATAATAACTTCTTTCATTACAATTTTATTGACAATCAGATGAATGTTGGAAATTAGATATAACTAGATAATTATGAAAAAATTGATCGAAAATATTCAAGAAGTCTATATATATATATAAATAAATTTTATCAGATAGATTTATAATAAGACTAAAACGATATATGTGTGTTATTAATTCTTACCTAGATGCATTTGTACCTCCTTTTAAAAATTATTATTTGGTAATTTAATGTTAAAAAAAAGTAAATAAATAAATATGTTTTGATATCATATTAAATAAGTCATAATATTAAAAAAATATACCTAGTGATTCTTCATTTTCTTCGTCTATTGGCCATGATGAATCTAAATCTTGAGGTGGTGGAAAAGAATTAGTAAATTCGAATTCCATCAACTCTCTAGATTTATCATAACCTATATATAACATTAATTTTATCAATAACACAATTTTAAAAAGATTTTCAATTTAAATAAATAAATAAAGCATACACTCTTCTTCTCCTTCAGCCATGTATTCTCCTTCACCCTCGTTCATTTGATCATCTTCTTCTGCATGCATCAATTCTCTAAGCCATTTTCCCCAAGATTTGATATGAATACCATCAAATTGGACTGTTATACCTTTTTCCCTGGCCAATTCATAATTTTTTCCGCCTTCCTTGAATTTCTTGAAAAATTTTGATTCACCAAGCATTCCTTCTGGAACTTTATCAGCTTTTTTATCATTCTTTACCACCATCCAACAATTAGTATCATCGATCCATTGGAAAAAAATATTACCAAATTCTGCAAAAATAGTGTGTAAAATTATTTGGTTGCAACTTGCAGGAACATCTGAAAGTAAAAAACCATTTGTTTTAGGCAAAGGATCTAAATATATATTGGCAATATTAAAAAATTGTCTTTGTCCATTAATTCAAGTTATATCATGATAAAAAATGACTACTACAATAATAATTTAACATACACCCATTGTCTCCCACCAAATTTATATATTTAAAGTCAGACCTTAGTAAATGGAGTTTGTTATAATATATGTTAACTTTTTCGGTGGTTAATAGTGTCTTTATGAGATTAGGTCCTTCAACATAAATTTCTTCTTCTGTTACTGCCTCAGGATCATTACCAGTATCTATTTCTTGAATTGTTTCATCCGAAGCATCAGACATATGCTCATTAAATATATGATTATATAAATCAACTTTTATTTCTATAACATTTAGAACATGATGTTAACATCAATAATTAATCAAATTAGGTCATTATTGTCTGTTAAATACAAAACCTTTTTCAACCGTGCAATAATAGCAAGTTAATATAAAAAAATTAGAAATAAACGCATATGTAAATTTATTTGCAAATAACATTAATAACTAAATACTCAGGTTATTGTTGAAAATTGTCCATTAGACCAAGTAATAAGATTTGGATTATTTGATCAAATGAAAATCCAAGGATCCAAGGAAAATTTTTTTTAATAATAATATTCAACTCTGGTTTTCCCCAATTTAATCACTCTCTGAAACACCGTAACGACTATTAAAAAAGAATTAGATATTAGAAAATAGAATAAAAAGAATACCTAATTTCTCTTTAAAAATTACCTTTTTAATTCTTTCAACTCTTCTTCCTTTTTCTGTAAATTCATCTTTTTAGTAACTTTGTTAGGTTGATAGTATAGTACTATCAGGTATCTCCCCATAACATTAAATCCATTAAGATGATCACATGCAGCTTTGGCATCAAATATATCTTTTATTAAAAAAAACAAAAATTTAATTTATTACTTACTGTAAAATAAAAACAAAAATTTCTAAACTAGAATGAATACCTTCATATACAACAAATGCTGTACCGCGTGTATCTTTTTCACAACCTCTAAATTTTTTAAAAATCAACGAAATTAATTTTTAAATTTAAATCATATTATTATATATCTGCCTATGAAATGAGACATGCTATAATATATAATTTCCATTATTTACTACTACTCACAATCGAATTTGTCTTATGGCTCCATATTTTCCAAAAATATCATACATTTCTTCTGAAGTAATATTAAATGGAAGATTTCTGACAAATAATACACGATTTACTTCAGGTGGTAACCGGGCCTATATAAATTGTTGAAATGTCAGTTTTAAATTCTTCATGGAAAAAAGCTCAAAGCATATTTTTAAGAAAAACCATTGGGTATTACATTCCGGTTTTTTACAGAAGCTGCCATCGCCATTTTAAAGTTATTGAATATTGGATGAAGTTAATAAATAATTTTTAAGAGGGAGATTGAGCTGTTTTGAAGATCATTCATTAATTTATGAATTATTTATTTATTTTTTATAATTACTTTTTTCACTTAATTTATACACTTGAAATTCCTCTATAAGAATTATTGAATCGTTATTTTTATATACAAGATTCGGTTTACCATCATAATCGTAATGACCGGTATTTTTATAGTGGCAATAAAAATCACCATCAGAGCTTCTAAATACTGTTAAATCGAAGAAATTTATAATAATTTCATGAAGTTCTATATCATCCTCTACAAAACCATCAAATTCACCATCATAACGTAATGCAAATTCATATTCCTTAACTCTACCTAATATTGAATTATTTAATTGATTTTTATCAATCTTAAAAACAAAACTTTCATCTGCATTAATAAAATAATTATCAAAAGAACATCTTTCTGGATTACTCCAACAAGCTGAATTAAATCCACCGATTAATTCTCCAGTTTCTTTAATCTTCATAAGAACTACTGTTCTTTCAACATTATAGCACCTTTTCAGAAAATCAAATTTTTCAAATCCATCCCGAGTTGCAGAATAAATTAATTTAAAATCATATTCCAATTGATCTATTTCAAGAATATCGTCTTCAAATTCAACCCAGCTTGCAATTAAATATTTAATTTCCAAGCATAATAATTTTAGTTGCCCTGTTCTTGGATCATTTTGATTTATCCAACTTAATTGTGATTCTTTACTATCGACTTTCACATCATCACCATCATCACCATAATATTGAACAAGTTCTTCGTATATTTCTTTATTGAAAGCTTCTTTGTAAGGTGTAATTTTACCATAAAAATCATTTGGAGAGATTTTCTTGAACCTTATTAATGGAATAATATCATGCAACATATTTTTCAAGTTTATAACATCATTGTCATTCCATTTTGAAATATCTTTTCCAACCAAATCTTTATTTTGTCCAATTCCCCATTGAATCACACAATCCCAAATATCAATCTCTTTCAATGGTAAATCATTTCTCTTCAATAAAGATATAAGAATAGGTTTTTCAATTTCTGCAATCTCATCTGGACTTGATAGTAATAATTCTGGATAGTCGTCAATCACTTCTTTGCAATAATTATTGATTGTATTGAATGATTGATACTTTGAAGAGATGTTATGGAGATAAACTAAATTTTCTCGAAACCATTTCATATTATTATTAATTAAATGGATTTGTAAGTCACTAATTAATTCATCGAAGCATAATTCATCACAGGCTTTAAGAAGTTCTAAAATTTCATTTGGATTCAAATGAAATATATCAATGATTCCGCTATAAATATATCTTTTTAACACAATATATATTATTACATGTAAATGAATAACAATAATAACAATAATAGTCATGAAATAATTGATTTAATAAAACTTACGTTAAAAGAATTTCAAATATTTTTGGCGAAATGTTATCTTTTTCAAGTAAAATAATACCATCAACAGATCTTTTCACCCAAACAGTTGATAAGGCTGCTTTGAAATACAAAGACCTTGATCTTAAAATTATAGAATGGGCTTTAAAAGTTTTAATATCCTGGTCTTCTCCTATTTTAATTTCCACATCATGAAAATTAGGTTCATTTAACAATTTTGCAAAATCATTGATAACATTGCTGACATATCTTAATGGTAAACCATCTCTTTGATAATCAAAAGTCTCATCAAATAGACGATTAAAATTTTCCAAGTGTTTGAATAATTTGGACATTTTTTTAATATCAATATCACGCAGTACAGTTGGGATTTTACTAAATTTGGAAATCAACTTGATCTTAAAAACCCATTCGTTCATTACCTGTAACAACATGATTTACGATGCAGGAAAATGTTTAAGATTAAAATTTTTGTTTTAATTAAATCTAAAATAAGATAGAATCTTATACTTTTGTTATCTTTATCATAATTTTGACTTTTGACTTTACCCTTTGTCACTTTTTGTCACATGTGCACCATTTGATGAAATACTTTTTACACTCCAAAATATTTTCGTCGCCCAACCTTGGCCTGGTTGACTCCTTCAATTTCATCAGAATCTTGTAACCATTTTGAATAAGAATGTCCAAATGTCTGTTTCCCATTTTGTCCTTCTCTTTTGCTTCTGGGAAGATAAGAAATTCTTTATTGATAATTGGTACGCCATTATTAATATATTGTTGACAAACTGCTTGCAAGATGTGTTATAATGTTGAAAATAGTTCAAATTAGAAAGTTATTCAGCAACAATTTTCTTTGACCTGTACTTCTGCTGCTGTTAAAACTTTGTTTCGAAACATTGAAACAGCATGAACTATAGGTTAATTTGTGCACAAAAACATGAAAACCATTTTCTGTGTCAGGACCAGAGATTCTGAAATCTCGTGTGTGAAATCTTTTCACTGGCCTTACTGTCTCTTCTTCCCTTAATCGTTTTGTTTGTTTGGGTACTATATATTTTATAATACAAAGAAGGCAACCCAAAGAATAATTCCGAATGAATGATAATTAACAAGAAAGACAAGAAGAAAAGTGATTTAGAAAGGTACTTGATATTATTGGCAAATATGACACAGCACAAGCAAAAAAAATGAAGCAACGAAATTAATTGAATCTTGTGAGAGAATATACCTACTTTCTTCATATTCTTCCTCTGCACTACCTGAAACAATATTGGGAGTGGATGGATGGATGTAAAATAAATGAATAGGTATTAATTAAAATTGTAAACAGCGTATCAATATCAAATAAAATGTTCTCTCAAACGAATAAATAAATGGAATGGAATCAACGAAAAATAATTTTTTGTATATTTTTTTTTACGCCATTTGTTCATTCTCCTGCGACCATTAAATATAGTAGTAATAAGAATCCCATTAAAACAAAAGGATCCCATTTCGAAAATTACCACTTATAATATGCAAACATATTGTCGAACTATAACTCATAGTACGACACGGCTATGTCGTAACTATGTCGTAATAGTAACTCTTGGGAAGATTCCGCAACTGTTTATCTTTTCTTTTAAGTAGTGCCAACCCGAATTGGGTAAATCAAAAAATAGTCCAGGTACAGTCAAACACTATAATAATAATTAAATTTTTGTCATAACGGATTTTAAATTTTTGTGAAAAGATTATTATTTATATTATAATTATGGGTCTGGGACACTTTACCGAAAACACGCGGGGTTACATTTAATCTCTACATAATCAAACAAACTAAAAAATGCTAAAATATCACGTCGCGTGTTGTCGGTAAAAGTGTCTTGTCGGTAAAGTGGGTGTCGGTAGTGTCCGGGTCCGATAATTATTATTATTATAATTATAATAATAATTAGTAATCTTGCCACAACGGATTTTAAACAAAATTTTCTTAGTTATTTTTTATTTCTTTTCTTTTCTTTTAGTGAGGTAATATTAATAAACCTTATTTAGTAGTTTTGGAGACGTACCTGACTTGGTAGTAAAGAGGAAAACGGCTAGAAAGGCACCCACCAAGAAACGTGATCAGGATACATAGTGTAAAATCTAAAAAAGATATTGTTTAGTATTTCTTAGTATAAGAAATTGTTTAATGATAGTAAAAGATAGTTTTGAGAGTAAAGCATAAATATAGATTCGCGGAAATTGTCATTACGATTTAGTATATATAAATAAATAGTATTTTAATCAAATCATAAGATTTGTGTGAGACGTGGATTTTGATCTCACAATATTAAGAATTATAAAAACATCTTTTAAAAAAAATTTTACGCATTTAAAATAATATCATTTCAAGTAAACCTTTTTAATAAAATGACTACCACTTGTGTGATTTAATTCTAAATAAAAAAAGATTTCAGAATAATATTATTCATTGCAAGAGTGGACAAATAATTATTTTTTAAATATATATTTTGTTTAGATAAACAATAAACATGACTTAGCTTTTGTTGTTATTTAATACTTTCTCAGATGTGAATTAATTTGTCCCCGCCACATCCATCACAACGATTATGCAATAAATTTGATATCATCATTGACATAATAAATAATAACAAGACCATGCAGAAATGAAACTTTTAATAAACAAAATAAATTATTTTTCCTGATTATCAATTATGGTTCCTTATGAATAATAAATCTGACGTTGATCACAGGGATCAGATTTAATTGAAATTTCCTGTCATCAACATATGGTTGGGTGCTTTCACACACCCTCATAATTGTGAAATTTCTCCCACAAGTGAAGCCCCCACATGTTGGAAGGCTTTGGACAAAACTTTCCCTTATCTTCCTCTCAGACCAGGCTTGTCTGTTTCCATATAGGCATTGATCACTGATAGCTGGTGTTTGTGTGATGATTGCTTTGTGTTATACCTCTCTAGAATAAAGTTGGTGTTAAGACTGGCTCGAAAATTCAGCAACTTGGGAGATTGCAACTTGGGTTTTTGTTTTGGATTTTCCCTGAATTCAGAGTTTTGAGTCTTGGGTTGCTGTAATTTTTATCAAAAGAAAAGTATTAATATTTAATAATTATTTATTTAATTCGTTGAAAAAAATATATATTGATAGTGTACATTTTCTGTGCTTAACATCCATGTGACCCTAAGTCTGGACAAAAGATCCCTTTCTATGGGTTTGGCTGGTATATCTCAAAGGCGTCTCCTGTTTTGTCAGTGGCATGCTTACTCACCAACAACCCTACCCCCAATTTAAATAACAAGTTCAGTTGGCCAAATAAAAATAGAGAATTTATAAAAATGATTAATTTACAACATAACATACCAGACAAAAAATATCTGGACCATTTTTATTTTGCAGCCTTTCTCCTAATATCAGAGCCCAAATGCAATTTCATGGCCACTGAATTGTAACCTCATGTGCTTGAAACAAGTTGCAGATTCTCTTAATATTCCTCCAGGGTTGCAACTTCTTGGACACAGATCCATCTTTAGAGGTAGGATCATTGCAGGAAATTTTTCGGCTAACATGCCAGCAGTCTTCTCTGGTTTGGTGCTGTGAGGGAAGATTAGTGAAAGTGTCCTTGATGGTTGATGCAGTCTTGGTAAACTCCAGAGCATTGAGTCCCTCTAAGGATACCAACTGCAACTTTTGATGGTGGTTGCTACCATCTTTGCATCATATAAAAACGATTGCAACCACCTTTACAACCATTTTGTTTCCTTTTTTGGATTGCGACATGGAACACTAATCCCTATGGTTCATTTTTCCTTCTACTCTTACTAATGGTCCCAATCCTTTAGCTGTGAAGCGACCCCAAACCATAATCCCACCTCCACCATGTTTTACAGAAGGAGCCAAATTTTCAATATTGTAACAAGTTCCCTTCTCACACCATACTTTTGTTGGTCCATCATTCCCAAAAAGAGTGAATCGACTTTCATCACTCCATATGACAGTCCTCCATTGTCTTATTGTCCAATATCACCGATTCATACACCATTCAAGTCGATTTTGGTGTTGCTTTTCATTAAGAAGTGGTTTTAACGCTGCATTATGAGAATGAATACCAATTTGATCCAAATTTCTATAAATCGTTCTAACAGAAACATTTATACCAGTGGCTTCATTAAGAGAATTTTGTATAGCACTAGTTGCAGCTCTATTATTAGTTTTAACAATTTCTTTCAAAACACTTTGTTCATTACCACCAAGCAATCTGGGTCGGCCACTTCTTTTTTTGCTTAAGGGTATTTTGGAACTTCCATAACGCTGAATTGTACTTTAAACAGTTGAAAGTGGAAAACCAAGAATGTCACTAATTTCTTTTCTTGTATGACCACCTTTTAAAAGGCCAATAATTTGTGATCTTTCAGAAACAGTCAATTCGCGGTTCTTTCCCATTTTTTTTCAAAATTGTTTTAAAAACAAAAAATGATCAACATTTTCATGATTTTTACATTATTTTTTATTTTTTATTTTTTGTCCTTTTTCATAACAAAACTTCATAATTTAATATCACGAACATATTATTAAGAACAAGAGCTTTCGAATGATATAAAGATTACAATATTTTAATTAGCATAATTTTGAAATAAATTCAAAAGAAATTTTGGACGCAAACTTTTGTCCACCGAGTGTAGAATGCATAATGTAGATTTTTCCTTGTTAACCTTCAGCATATGTCACAAAAAGTGATGTTAAATTTCCATTTCAATGACAAATAACTGGAATATGGAATACTGGAACATCAATAGAGCACTCAGTGGAATGAACCACTTGCTGATTTTTTAAAAACAGTTGACTTCTGTTTGCCAATTGCTTTTTTACTTAATATTCTAGTCAGTGACAATTAGCAAGAAATCAAAACTAGAATATTACTTTCCCTGTTTTACCTCTGAACAAGGAACACTGAAATAATCATAATAATCATTGTATATAACCACCATATACATCTGAATTCTAAGATTGTATTCTTTATTACTGGGGGTTGAATTGCATGTCCATGAATACCCCTGCGTTTATTCATTAATATAAATAAAGTTATATTCTTTATTCTTTAAACAAATAATAAAGGATACAACCCTAAAATCCATCCAAATATGCTTGTTGGTGTGAACCTAAAATCTGCATGAATCTGAAATTGTGTGAATTCATGCACATGAAATTCAAATTAGCCAATCAAAATTTTGTATCCAAACACCCACCTCAAAATTAATATAAATTCATACAAATTTGATTTCATGACAACATGCTGATTGGAACACTAAATAATCATAATAATCATTGGAATATATTTCTTTAAAAAATGTCAATTGGTTTATACTGATAAAAAATATAAGGATAAATCAGAGCAATTATCTTGCAATATGTAAAGGGTTGCAACAAGACTTCAAACACAGTGAAAAGAATCTTGAAATAATCAAGCAAAAGAATTGCAAAATAGATCAAAAAGACCTAGTAATATTTAAAATTTTTATTTCTATAACATTTAGAACATGATGTTAACATCAATAATTAATCAAATTAGGTCATTATTGTCTGTTAAATACAAAACCTTTTTCATGCAACACAAATGTTGCCAACCTAAGAAAATTATAACCAGTTATATATGCATCATAGCCAGCCTCATGATTTTGGGTTTCATCATTTAAAGTGTACCGAGTAAAATTTGGATGTAAAACTATTTATTAAGTATTAATATTAATAAATACTTGACATGTAAAGATTTTTGATAAAATCATGGACGATTTTACTTGCCAACTTTGGGAGCTATCTTCTCAAAATTTTCAGTTTGAACAATTTCCAAGATATCTTGAACCCCATTTCTTGGAATAAGTTCCTAATAAATAATAATAAATTGAGTATACGCATACATGCATATCAAATTCACAATGAATCACAGAATCTTGTAAGAATTAAATAAATTGATTACTTGTAATTTATGATTACTTGCTGCTATGTGTTTGGTATCTATAACACTTAATAAAATTTAAAATTTTACATTAAATACTCTATGTTTTTAATGTGCACTTTAAAAATTTTTTTTTTATAACCTTGATTAGTTTACTTACACCTCAAACATTTCGTGCACAAGACTTTTCCAATCCTTTAATTTTTCAGGCAATTCTTTCCAAAATTGATGCACTAGTTGACAAAGGTCTAATAAACAATTATGTCCAACTATTGGCTTTTTAGATTTAACCAACAACTCTATTATGGTTCGAAAATTTATGTTGGAAACCACAGCCTATCAAAGAATTAGATCCTTAGTATGGATAGATATAAATTGTCATTTAATTATAATTATAAATTTAAAAAAAAATTTTTTTTAGATTTTTTTACTTCTTCAGCATCTTTTTGTGATTTTTTCTCTCTCTGTTCTTTTGTAAACCGTACAAACAAGATACTCTTAGGTTTACTGTCTGCTGATGCATAACCAATAAATCTTGAATAAAATAAAATTTATGTACATATTTATATGAAAATTAATAAGATAACTTTTTAATATAATATGATTCTCTAAAAAAAAAAATATAATAAAAATAATAATAATACCTTGCACGAAATTCTTGAAAAAGCAAACGTTTCTCTTTGATCGTTGGAGTTTCTATCGTTAATTGTTGAGTTGTTGAATTGTGTAGCCAATCATCAATGATTGTACTTGTAATCAATTCCCAATCAAAAGTAAGCATAATTACTATGTAAATTTGATCCTAAAAAGGATTTCGATTAGATAAGAATATGCCAAAAGCACAGTCGACTCACATAGCATTCTCTACAGATGCTCTCATATCATCCTCCACCGGATTGTCTAACAAGTCATTTATTTATTTATTCAGATTAAATATAGAATATAATTATTATGATATAATGATGTGTTATTTTCAATTTACCCATTTGTCTCTGTGCAATGTCAGATCTCCTTTGCAAAAGTTTTTCTTCATCCGTATAATTTAAGAAAGGTATTCCTTTAGATAAATAATTACAGGAAAAAAACCATACAATAATATATAAGATAAAGATAAAATGTTCCAAATTGATAAGACTATATGGTAGTTATTTTTGATAAATCACCATAAGAAATCAATTTATTAAAATCAAATCCACAGTTAGATAAAAAATGTAAACTTGATCCACTGCACATAAAACAAATGTCATGATAATCTTTCCTATCAGAATCTGCTGGAAAGATATAAAAGTTAAACGGTTTTGCTATAAAACAATCTTCAGTGTGTGAGTATGTATAAGTACATAAGCCAAATTGAATTATAAGAAACTATATTAAACAATTGATTAATAGTTATGAACTTGTTTATATATAAAGATCAAACAACAAACAAAAAAATACCTTGGTTGCTGCTATTCGAACTTTATTGTACCTTGAAACGGGATCATCAAAACTTTTAATCCGTTCTACACGTTCACTTAAGCCTAAACTCATTCATTTGAAAAAGTAAAATTGTGAAAATTGTTTTAAAATTATGTTTGAATAAATGAATCACTAACCAGTTAATTCAGTGTCTATGGCCACGAAATCACAATTTAAAATAGATTCTTCAATGCTTGGTAATAGTTCTTTGAAATTTGATTTGAGGATATCCATGCTTTGATAAAGATGTAACTTTTTCAAAAATGAAAATTTTATCAGATGATCAACGCAGGAATGTGCCAATTAGAGGAATTCATCTTTAAAATTCTGTCTTTGGGAAAGTTTGCAAATGTCCATTTTTTATTAGAATAATTTTTAAAGAAAACGTCATTTTGAAACGCATTAGTAGCTTTTAAAGTTGGTATCTGTAATTGTTTTCGCGTTTTCTGCAACTACAGATTTTAAGGCTTGAGTTGCAACCTTTTCTGCAGCCTCAGAAACTCCTGAAAAACCCGGTTCTTATTATCTTTTACTATTACTATTTATAAATCATCTTTTACTACTACTACTATTGCCGTTATCTTTTACCATTAATTATCTTTAAATAAACATTATCCATTAATTGTTTTTTAATTTATAATAAAAAAACATTTTATAAATCTGATTATTCATTGTACACATTAATATTAATACATGTAAAATTCATTCAGGAAAAAATATTATTGTCATTATTGATTTTACGGAATTTGTTTTATTGTGTTGGTCCCAAAATTGACTAGCATCATGGAAAATTCTGGTAACACTTCCGTATAATGCTGGTCAATTTTGACCAGCGTAAGTTTTAATTTCCTGATACACAGTAAACCAACATAGCGGGCTTTATCTGTGATTGGTTGATCCACAAAGAAATTGATTGGATAATTTTATAATATGCCGATCATTATTAAAACTTTTTAATATTGCTTTCAAGACAATAAAATAAATATATTCTTAACAATATTTTTTATTTGTAATTGGTGGTAAATAATTCAGCAAAAACATTAGGTGAAAACTCTTACTATAATTACTATGTAATAAAGTACACCTATGGTTTGAAACAGCATATCCTATAACATCAAAAACCAACAAATGTATCATTTACTCACTACTTGATATATTAAATTATTACATAGTTCTTATCTAATGAATGAAAGATATTGAATATTAGATATTGATATATTAAATCTTGAATAAATTATAAATATTATAAATTATAAATATTAAATTGTATTAAATAAATTATAAATATTAAATTGTATTAAATAAATTATATATATTATAAATTATAAATATTAAATTGTATTAAATAAATTATAATTATTAATATTTATAATTTATTCATACATTCTCACCATAGAATAATAACACCATTATAACCAACTCATATCTTCTTTTGGTTCAGTAATCCTTTACATGACATGATTTAGAACTATGAAAATAGTGCAAGAATTATGATTAACGTTTATAAATGTACCTTCTAACAAATTAAATAAAATACAAAAGAATAATTTAAATAAACGTTTTACTCATCCAAATCACTAACCAGAATATTAAACAGAACGTGGGCTATTGGTATTGTTTATGGTCCCTAACAGTTGTTAAATGATTTAATTTAAGTTTATTATTTTCAGTGAACATATGATTTTCTAATTGCAAAAAAGACTTCTATAACTAACTTCTGAATTACTTCACTTTTTACTGAATTATTTTGGCAGTCTATAAAATAGAAGGTGAGAAATCAGAATATGTTGTTGTTATTGCCACAAAATTGATTTTGGTGACGCAAAGTCGAGTTAAAGTCAGATGATGGTCAGTTTGTATATGAAACATATGTAGTGTAATTAATGCTGATCATTTCTTAAAATTGAATACCCGCTATGTTATCAAAATTATATTTTATGTGATAATTGGAAATAAGATCAACAAAAATCTGGCCAATGAAATAGTTGTTTTTGTGATCTCATCCAGAAAATATAAAAAAATTTTACACGTGTCAATTATAAGTTTAATAATAAAAAAGTGTAAAACTTATGTTGGCACTGTAAGATTTACACAATATTACATTGGCATCATAAGATTTATGCAAGTTTACGCTAAATTAATTTCCTGACGCTGCAACAGTGTCCACTATGCTTGGGAAATTATAATAGTCCAATTTTGCAGCCTGTTTCCTAAAAATTATATTTATGACAAAACACCTTTCACCTGTCCTTTTCATGGTTTGCCTGTGAATAATAGAAAAGGACAGGGGACAGGCTTCTGTGCATTCACCACGCCACACCTGTTCCATGTTAGTCACCTGCCCTTTTTTTACATTATTTCGCAGAATATCTGTACCATCACCCATCCTTTTCCAGCATCACATTCTGAACACTGATCCTTGTCTAGCAGGTTTAATATTACATAGCTGATTATAATTATATATAAAAAAAAACCCCCATCTGATCTGTTCCTTGCTGGCATGCTGCAATAGTAAGAAAAAAAATTTTTTTAAAAAGTTATTTCTAAACTACATTTATATACAAATTTTATTTCCAAATTACTTATTATAAAGAGGTTTGATTTAATGTCAACCATTCTGTTACACATATGATATTCTTTCATGATAAATATTGTCATTACTATGCATGAAATCAAAATCAAAACCAAAAGTCAAAATACTTCGACCTGAGAGATCAAAGTTGAATCAAAAGTTGAAATGGTTGAAATTACATCATACAACAAGCCGAGCATACAGAAAATTGATCAAAACTTCAAACCCTCATAACTTGTTCAATATCTGGCTATTGAATTCTCTTGATGAGGTGAGTCTAATGGGATGTAATTCGAATCACTGATTATTGAGATATTTTGGTTTTATCATAACATTACAATAACTCATTCAATCGCCATTATTTGAATCACCTTTATGAGACTATTCTAATGGGCCATGTTTTATTAAATCTGGATCACTGGTTCTCAAGATAAATAATCTTGAAATTATTAATTATAATAAATCACGTGACATGACCATTCCGATCCCCGAAATTAAATCGTTTCGACTTCATGCATAGTTTGGATAGTCAAAATTATACATGAAGTCAAAATTAAAATCAATAAGTTGACCTGAGAGGTCAAAAGTCAAATTAAAAGTCTAAATGGCTGAAATTACATCATACAGCAGGTTGAACATACAGAAAATTAATCAAAGCTTCAAATTCGCATAACTCAATCAATATCTGGCTGTTTTGAATAAAACAACCACCATTCGAATTCTCTCAATGAGATGAGTCTAATGGAATGTAATTCATAAAATCCGAATCACTGATTATTGAGATATTTTGGGTTACTGTATATATTACAATAGCTTGTCATTTATTGGTGCCATGAATATTAAATCACCATTATTCGAATTTCCTTTATGAGATTATTCTAATGAGCCATGATTTATTAAATTCGGATCACTGGTTCTCGAAATAAAAAATTTTGGAAATTATTAATTATAATAAATCATGTGATATGACATAATTTCGACTTCACAACTCAACTTTTAGTATTAGCATTACTTAACGCACTAAGCCGGCTTGGTTAATATATTAATAGAATTTTGAACCGCATAAGGCGTAATGTTTTCAAATGGTCAGAAATTTTGATGACTTGTATATACATAGTGATGTTACACGAATATGGTTTTTTTTTATAATTCATTTGTAATATATTATTAAAATTGACTATAAAAAAATGCCTCCAAGAACAAGAAGAAAACAAACATCCAAAGATACCACAACCGCCAAAATAGAACCAGTTGAAGCCAACACAAATTCTCTGAATGATAACAATACTCTCCCTACTGCCACTACTGCAGCCATCATAACATCAGAAACTGAAACTTCAAAAGAAATTTATACAGCTGAATCTATTATTTCTTCTAATTTTACCAACGACGACAACAATGAAAACGATAACAATAATAGTAATATCAATAACAACAACGACATCATTGACAGCCATAACAATGACGATGACGACAATGCAATAATAACCAATAATGAAACATCAAAAGAAACTGATATATCCAAACTAAATATTTCTGAAATTAATACAAACATCTCCAACAGTGAGATTGAAATTAATGATAATAATTCCTCGTCTATTAAAGTTATCACTGCAACTACTCCAACAGCTGTAACACCTTCAGCGATTGAAATTACTTTTACCGATGAAGCGTCAAAAGATTCTCCTAATTCTAACGTTGTAGTAAAACCTTCTGGTTTTACATGTAAAAGGATTACATTTGATGAGCCGTCGGATTTAAATAAAAATTCCAATGATTTATCTTCAGAACTGGAAAGACGTAAAAAACGTGCTGAACGTTTTGGAACACAATTATCAGAAGCAGACAAAAAACTTGAAAGGGCAGCTCGTTTTGGTTTCGCCATTCCTAATCCATTAGATTCTCAATTAAAATGTGAATATTTGAATTGAAGTTCCATCTCTGATTTCCTTTCTATCTTTCTATACATACATACATACATACATATATATATATATAACTTCAAAAATTTTTTTCTTATATTAGCACCAAGGCCTTCTTCTGCTCCTAAAAAAATGGTTAGTAAATTAATTATTTCTCGTACGTTTTAATTTTTAAATGTGTGTATTTATATTTATTTAAAATAAAAATAATTTTAGTCAATTGTTGAAGATGAAGAAAAACTAAAAAAACGTGCAGAAAGATTTGGTACTAATAAATCAACAAATGAAACAACAGAAGAAACAACAGATCCAACCATAAAATTTACAAGTCCTTTGAGTTCTTTAAGCGAGGAAGAAAAAAAAAAGAAACGTGCCGAGAGATTTAGTTCAGAGGTAAATATATTTATATATCTTATCTTAAATAAATTTTGATCAATTATAATTTATACATTTTCCTCTTTTAGTCCAAATCATTATCTAGTGTGTCCCCTACATCTTTAAATACAATTAGTGAAGAGGAAAAAATGAAAAATAGAGCGGAGAAATTTAAAACAAATGTAATTATATTTATTATTTAAATAATTTCATTGGAAATGATAATATCTTTTTTCAGTGATAACAAAATTGTTATTTGAATTTTATAGACCAATGATGAACCTCCCAGTAAAAAAATAAAAACATGAAATTCAGGATTCTTGCAAGGGAAAAAAAAACAAAATATAACTATATCAAAACGGTAATGTCTATAATTTTCTTTTTTTTCAAAAAAAATATATTAACTTGCTTTTTTATTTTTTTTGAGAGATAAATTCAGAACTTAGGTTTAATTGGATATTAGTGAAAAGTATTTATTAGTAGTATTATTGTTCATTTAGTGTTTTCTCTACATATTATTATTATATAAAAAATTTTCAATTACCTTTTTTGTTTGAAAGTTTTTTAAAAAGATTTTTTCTAATATTCTTTAAAGATTTATGTATATTAATGAAATAAGTTGATATCAATACAATTTTTATATACTAAATCTTTAAAAATATGCGTGTGTGTGTATACCACTTGTTAGTCAAATGAAGTTTCAAAAAAAAAAAATCTTTTTTGAATAAATTAATTATGAAAGGACAGTTATTTTCAAAAACTTAACTTTATATAATCTTTTTAAAAAATACACACATATATATATTTTTTTTTTATAATATAGAAATTAGACAAGATAATTTTTAAATAAACTAAATTTTTCAAGAGAAAAAATTTAATGCAAACAGTAAAAATTTTAAAATTTTAAGGTCAAGTATTATACTCAAGAACATTGGATAAATTATATTTTGATCGCTGCTGTTTTTATAAAAGCTTACACTACTAGAGAGATTTATTATCAAAACAAGTGATAATATAGCAACTGACTGATCTTGAAAAGACAATTAAATATGTTAGGTATAAATAAACCTCTGGTAACAGATAATGAAAAAGTGATGAAGACGTGGAGTGATTCTTCTGTTATGTGTCTTGAATCATTAATATATTCATTAACTTTGATCAACAAATCAAATAAAGATAAATTTATATAGGCGGATTTTTTCATGGAATTTATAGTACCAAGACTTTAAACTGTTATTTCTCCTCCAAAAATATGTAGAATGTTGATAGAGAGAGAATATGTTAATTTTTTATATTTTTCTGAATGCAATAAAGGAAAATTTTGAATGAATATTTTACAATATTCAACTTTTTTAAAATGAAATAACTCTGAGTGTTTAAAATATTATCTATTCACACATATTTGGCACCTATATTGTTGAAAATGGGGAAGGAATAACAATTTGAAAACTGTGCATTTTATTATGTACTCCAAGCCCAGACTGCAATCTCGGGCTGGTCCAAACACTCCGTTCCTTTGATTTGACGGTTAACAACCCCACCTACAAATGAACATTTTGTCATGAATGCTTCAAAATCTTTAAACGGGGAGGAATTGATTGTGCACACTGTTGCCTTTTATCCAAAAGATCCTAACGTAAAAAACAACCAAATTGTTCACGTGACCAGAAATTCATTCCCGAAAACGCTAATTTTGGCCGTTCAATTATGACATTTTTATATTTTTAAAAAGATTTTTTTTTTTAATCAGCACTGATATGTGATACCTCTTCTCCAGATATCTGTGACAAATTTGAGAGTCCTGGAAAATGAGCCCTCAGATATTGTTGTGACCGTGATGGAAGGGACGAATCAACATCACTATCAAAATAGACTCTTTCTGATTTTGTGCATGTTATCATGTCCAATAATAATTGGAGAAAATTTTTTTCTTTACTACCTTAAAGCAAAAGTCCAAATGCGAAAGAGTGTTTCCAAATATTCATTGAAAGAGAGTGCCTGACCTGAACAAAATGGCATACATATAGGGATGGGTTCAATTTATAAACTGACATTTTGACCCATGAACAGTGGCAGCTCAAACTCATGATGTAGGCCGACTCATCAAGAGAACTATCGAGAACATTTGACTTAATTTTTAAACTAGCAATTGCATCTGCGGGCAACTAACGTCACCCGATTACCAAAGGTTATGGGAATCAACATCATCAAAGTTGATAAAGTAGACTTAGTCGAGGAGATAGTCCTCTAATAAACAACTCGAACCCAATGTACCCTATTCAGCATAACCTATTGTTTTTTATTGTTATCAATTAAATTCGCTCATAAAGTAAATTTTTATTGAAATCTGACCAGTTAAAGTCTGATCTTTCAAAGACCAATACAATCCTAATGCCGCGAGAACATGAAGATTTTTATCATGTAAAATATTTATGGTATATAAGTAAAAGCAAATGTAATTTTTCCAAACAAACGTTTGCGTTCAAAACAAATTTGTCAATTTTTTGCCTTTTGAGATGGATTAATAAAGATACCACTGATAGAGCTAATGAATAATACAAAATTGCTTTGCATACTCGTGTATCATATAAATGAAAATAGTTGCCATGACAAATATTAATATTCATATTGGATTTTTTATTTTATTTAAATGAGAAATGGGTTTTATTTTTCTTATGTTGAATAATTTGCAGCTAAAATGTTTCACCTCTTGTTCTCACGCTTCCCAAAAGGTTCAGTTTAACTTAAATAGAAATAACACTAGAAATAAAATATAAATAGATGTCTAGAAAAATGTCCGAGAGGAATTGACCAATTTTTAACGTAAATAAAAAAAAATAAAAATAAACAAAAACGTATCTTGCGATCTATATAATCTTTTTTTAATTATATATAATACTAACTATTTTTGAGTCCAAGGAAATCATAATATTTTATTACAAATAAATTTTACGTGATTTGATTTGACTAAAAATAGTTGGTGAATGGAATCCCACAGAACATCGCATATTAATATGATGCAATTTTTTTGTCCACGGGATTCAAGAATATGGTTTGTAAGCAAAAAAAAAAAAAAAAAAAGGTAAACTAGATATTTAGAAATATCCAATCTAAAACCGCAAGGTAAATAAATGCCACATTTCCGTTTTCAGGTGCAAAGATGGTCATCTGTGCTGAGGAATGCACTAATAAAACGTGTGGATGTTGTGGACTCGTAAACAAAACTTGGAACTTTTATAGACGTACATTTTTCAAATGCACCACTGATAGAAATGTAAACAAACCTTGTATAATATACTTTTAAAATATATTACGGAAGAAACACAACAAGAATCGCTTGCCCTGCATTCGAGAGACACCTTATTTATTGTACTTTTGTTATAATTGTTCTTTTTTACAAGACTATCATCAAATTTACTAATTTGGAATAATATGAGCGATGATCTCAGCCACAATTTATTGAAGTAATGCCATTTTCGAGTTAACACCATTTTGTTGCACACTTTATGATTGATATTTTTTATCTCAATATGTAACAACGGTTTGTTGTTGTGTAGAAAAAAAAATTTTTTTATTTTTCATGTGAACAATTTGTAAAACCTATCTAATATATATGAGCATTATGACGATGATATGATAGAAATAGTCACATACTTTACCGTTGCAAAATTCTGAAACATGAAAGGAACGAACAATACTAATTTCATCTCTTGACGTACACTTTTTAGTCTCCACAAAAAAAATCGAGTATTGTTCTTGTTTATTTATTTTCAAAAATTCAAAAAACTTGATGAAAATGATGATTTTGAAACAAAGGGGTAAAAATGATAAATAATAATAATAATAACAATAATAATAAATAAATAATATCGTCCGTCCGTCAGTTAAACACGAGTTTTTGAAAAAAATTCCATTTTTATTACTATTAATAATTTTTTTCTAATTAAAAAAAATTTTAATTAATTGCGATGAAAAGATATTCAGCTTTAACCATCACAAGAAAATTGTCAAGTGGCAATTCTGATATCGATAAATTTCTCGAAGAAATAAAATTAAATTCAAAAGATAATGATAAAACTTTAAAATGGATTCCCTATCATGAATTCAGTAATTTAAAGGAAATTGGCAAAGGTGGCTTTGGTATTGTCTATGAAGCGATTTGGCACGATGCTCCTGAACAGAAAATCGATTTAATTTGGAATAAAAAAAGAGTCGCCTTAAAGGTCTTATTTAATTTTAGATTTAATTCTAGTAATGATAACAGCTTGTCTGGTAACCTAATAAACGAGGTATTTTTTTAAACAAATATTTATTTTATTAGTAATGTATTTTTTATTATTATATATTCCTTATATTATAATAATAAACATTATTATTATTATTATTATTATTATTATTATTATCATCATCATCATTATAGTTAAGATCATATCATCGATGTATGGAATCAGGTCGAATACTCCCATGTTATGGTATAAATTTATTATTTATTCTTTGATAATAAATAAAATAAATAATTTTAAAAAATTTTAGTTTTTAGGAGTTAGTAAAGATCCAGAATCAAACCATTATACATTAGTTATGCAATATGCAAGTGAAGGCAATCTTCGAGAATATCTTGATCAAAACTTTCAAAGATTTGATTGGTGGAAAAAGATAAATATGTTAAAGGATATTGTTTTGGGACTTCAATCCATTCATTCGGTTGGTCTTGTACATAATGATTTTCATAGTGGAAATATATTACGACATGGTTACGGAAGTGATAGTGATAATTTGGACACTTATATTTCAGATTTAGGAACGTGTCATCGTCATACAACCACTCAAAATTTGTTGAATTACAAGAAATTAAATGTTTTTGGCGTGCTGCCTTATGTAGCTCCAGAAGTTTTGTGTGGGGAACAGTATACGACTGCTGCAGACATTTATAGTTTAGGAATAATAATGTGGGAGGTGACCTCTGGTGAAAACCCTTTTATAGATAGACCACATGATTACATATTAGCCAGAGATATTTGTAATGGCCTTCGACCTGAAATAGTAATCGGAACACCTGATTGCTACGTCGAAATGATGCAAAGTTGTTGGAACGCCAACCCGTTGCAAAGACCTACGGTCGGCGAATTGTTAGATTTGTTTAAAAAATTTCGCGAAATGCAAAAATTTCGTAGCCAAATCGGCGAAGCTGAACTGGTAAGGTTATCAACGTTGCAAAATAAATTTATCAAAAAGATTCAACATCCATCTGCTTTTTACACAAGTCGTTTACTTGATTTCACAAATCTTCCACAACCAAAAAATGCAA